GATGTCAAATAGTAGGTTTAACAGAAGATATATAGAAAATAGAGGAGATGCCAAAAAATATAGAAGGTTAAAAAAGTAACTTAGCATGTCTGACATTGCTAAAAGCAAGAAAACTTAATATAAATATAAGAACAGAAGGCAATCTATGGACAATGTTCAGATATGAAATCAAAATAAGAGAACTTATAAACATACAACTGCAAAAAAGAAGTGATACGAGAATAAATGAAGCAGACATAATATATTTAAACTAGTTAATAGATACAAAAAGAGAGAGACTAATCATATGACAACAGCTAAAAAGTTACCAAGGCCTATTAAGTAAGGGGAAAAAGCAGAATGGTTTAAAGTAATAGAACTAGAAGTGCGCATTAGACCAGAAAATAGAAAAATTAAAAGACAATATAAAACAATCAGACAAAACGCCAAGCAATGCAGATAAGATGGAAGTGTATCTCAGAAGACAAAAGAAGAAAAGAATAGGTAACACATAGTGCACAAAACGATCGACAATTAGGAAAGATAATTAAAAAGAAAAAGAAAAAATACTAGTAGAACATTGGCAAATGCAGAGTAAAGAAAGTGAATTAGCTATTGAAATCAACAAATGTAAGGGATGTATAAGAGTAGAAAAACATCAAGAAGATAGCTGCTAACAGTGAATAAGAGTAAATAATAGAATCAATGTGATCCCTGATACATTAATAAAAAAAGGCAGCAATAAGATCAAGATACTAATAGATCAAATAACAGAAATGATAAAAACAAGCAGACTAGTAATAGGAGAACAGAAACTTGAAGAACTAAGAGTAGTAGAAGAGCCAGAAGTAGAGATAGTCAAATGATAAAAGCTAAAAAACAGTATTAGTCAAGAGATAATAGAAGTTTTAAGAAGAAATATAACAAGAAACAAAAACAAGTACATAATATATACAGATGGAGCAGCAAACCTGAAGACTAAAGAAGACACAAGAAGCAGAAACAGTATGGGCATAAGGTGGGTGCAAACAGATGAAATACAAGAATGACCAAAAAAAGAGCTAGCACTAGGTTTAGAAGAATGACAAACATCGACAATAGCTAAGTTAGTAGCAATATAGACTGCAATCTTAACGATATCAAGAGAGAGACAAATAGAAATATATACAGATAGCAATGCAGCAATAAGAAACATTAATAGAGGTTTAGAACAAGTTTGCAAAAATAAGATCCTTAAAAAGAAGAACACAATATGAATAATGAAAATTAGAAAGCTTATTAAGACAAAGAACATTCAGATAGAATTAGTTAAAGTTAAGAGTCATAATAAAGATAGATAGAATGATAAAGCCAATAGTCTAGCAAAAAAAGATGCAACAAGTGAGAAGATAATACAGGTTGAAAAAGTTAGCTGTGAAGAGATAGAGTATTGCTTAGAGTGGGAAAACAAATGTACTGACATACCAGCAAGACTACTATGCAAATTGATAATGAATGCAAGATTAGAAGCAGAATGGAAAGAAATGAAAGCAATTAAAGAATTGGAACCAGAAACAGAAGTTACAATATATAATTGGACATACTTTTGAAATAGGCTAAAAATATCTAAAGAAGTACACTGCACAACAAGAAGAAGTAGTACCAGAAGAAATGCATTCATAAAATGTATAATAAACAAGCTTCCAACCCTAAAAGAACTGAACAAAAGAAGACTAAAGATATATACAACAACAGAATGTCAAATGTGCCAAAACAAAATAAAAGAAACACAAACACATCTGGCAGCATGTAAGGGACAAAAGAACCTGTAGAAAAGAATTCAAAAAGTAATCATCGCAACAGCCTGAAAAGGATTAAAAGAAGAAGAAAAAATTCAGATCCTCTTATATATATTATATACAATGCTTTTTGGAAAAACAGAAGCAAAGAAAATTAAAATAAGAGAAGCATTAATTAAAGATCTTATTTCAAAAGAAACACAAAACAGATTAAGACAGCTCCTAAGTACAAAATCAAGACAGCAGTTTATGAAAGTAGTAGCAAGAATAATCTAGAATATATTTTATGAACAAGTATAGAGAATTCGATATAAGAAGGTCAACAAATAGAAGAAAAATAAAAGAATAACAGATAAAATAAAAAGAAGAAAAAAAGAAATGAAGAAAGTATCAAGGAAAAAAGAAAAACCAAATCAGCAAGTAATTAAAGAAAGAAAAGTGAAAGTGAAAGAAAAAGAAAGCCAAATCAGAAAAAAAATACAAAAAACAATTTTAAAGCTTGTCATGAAAGAGAGAAGACCCTTTCATTATAGATTTTAAGTAGTCAGACAAGTAGCTTACTTCTGCTTGAAATAATGCAACAAGTTGCACTTAGGTACCATTAGGGTGGCTAGATGATACTAGGCTTAGTTGTTAAGAATATTTATGTAATTGCAAATGTAATTTCAAAATCTTAATAAAGCACTAGTATGACTGCTTAAAGAAAAAAAAAAAAAAAAATTATACAAAATCCTGTAATCTAATTGAACAGTCATATTAACCTGTAATATACATAACAACCTGTAATATTTAATAATATTTTATTGTTTAGAGCATAACAAAGAACATTTAATAATTATGCATTATGATACAAAAGTTATGTTTTTGATGCATCAATAGTTACGTTTTTGATTAATGATTAATACATCAAAAACATAATTTTGAAAATTCTTGTCTATCTGCACACATGTCTATATTTATACTTTAGTATGACAACAACATGCAATCATGCAATATAATGATCGTGCTCCAGACAGGTACCCTTATGTTTAGAAAATCCTGGGCTAAAGATCCCTTCTGACCCTATCTGGATCCAATAAAATTACAAGATCTTGTGTAACAAAACAAATGCAAAAAACATAAGAAATTGTAAAAAAAACAAATAATACAAAAATTTACTATGATAACTAACTTCTGACCTCTAAGTAAAAGTTTTCAGAATGAAATTTTACTTACAAAACACAATTGTTAATGTTAGATATATAGTGAATTTTTAAGATACTATGACTCATATTCTTTTGGCCAACAGCTCAGAATTTTCTGGACATAAGGATATCCACTCCAAACACACAATGCTATGCATTAACCTAGTAAATATATTATTGTTCGAAGCATAGTCATTTCATGCAATGTCCGTTAAAGATAACCAATCAAAATTTTAAATTAGGTAACATAACAGATTCTTGCATATTTTATACTTTAGACTTATAATAGTTCCTGTTTTTCTAGTATATAGTTATAAGAATATAAAATATTTTGAACATGAACAAAGCTAAACTATATAATTTGGTTGTCTCTTATTTTGTGTATACTGTACCTATAACTATAAAAAATAATAACAGATATGTCTCTTCTACCATCAAGCAACCTACGCAGTCTTCACAAATATCGGCTGGCTAATATGCACTTTCTTAATATAGATTAAGCTTAATAATATTTCTATTATTTTTATAATTTGTAGCAGTCATTCCGACTGGCCACCTGATCATTGTGACTGTTGTCCAAACAGGTCACAATTCAAAAAACTGCAAACTGCAAAAACTGTAAAAATTGCAAAACCTATGAAACCTACCTATCCTTGCCCTTTTTTAGACATAACTGCTGTCTTGGCAGGCCAGTCCACTACAACAATACTTAATTTATAGGAAGAGTGAGTGGGTCAATATAACCAGAATGAAAGTCAGATTTACAGAAAAGACAAAATTACTTTTTACCACTTTCACAACTCTTACCTTTATATACTTCTATCCAATTTCCTTATAATTACTCAAATACCTTATACTAACAAAAGCACTAGTCACATGTACCATACTCTCATCAATGACTGCATTAACTAATTACTTAAATTGCCTTATTCTTATCGAATACTAAATCATCAATCAAACTCTCAACCATTATCGCATAATTAATCACTCAAGACCTTATTCTTACATCAATGCCTTATTATTAATTTACCTATTACCTCATACTATAATGATCTAAAACCCTAGTCATGGTGAAAAAAAAGTGACTGGTCACATGTTGTAGATCATTTTTTGACCAATCATAATCATATATATAAAATATATTGTAAGCTTCAGAATCAGTACCACTGTTATTATGTGACACATGATTGATCGTCAAAATTAGGTTCCATCGCCTACCTGAGTAATTAGTTACATGAAAAGTAAGAGAAATCTTACTTTTCTTACTTTTATTACTTTTGCTGCATTTTTTATTTTTATTACTTCGGATAGATTAACACATATAGTACATTCAGCTTTTCTTTAAGATGGAAGAGAAAGAGTTTTAATGATGATATCATGTAAATAGATAATATAGAAGAAATTAACCTCAATTGTAAATAAAACATTTATTATAAATAAAGGGCATTCTGCCCAAGGAGGGAAGTATGAGCGATACTCTGAGTAAATACATTTTTGCATAATAAACTTAAGTATCAGACTTATATTAAAAGTAAACTATAACCCAATCCAAACTAAAAACTATCATTAAAACTATTGTTATAACTATTATTTGCCCACTTGTAAATCACTAAAACTGCATTTTGTTTATTCGCTATGAGTCATGTGACCAAGCTGTTAACACAAGAGAAGAACTTCATCCGATTCGATATATCATAACTCCCAGTTAAGAAAGTAGAAAGAAAACAAGAACACACAAGGATTAATAGAAATATAGATTGAAGAAAAGACTTAGAAAAGAAAAGTAGTACTTACCTACAGATAAACTACTATCCAAATCTAACATGCCTATTTCGACTTAGCTGCTGTAGGTTACATAAAAATTGGAAGGAATTAGTAACAGACTCACTGATTTGCTAAGCAACAATATACTATAGATCATTATATCACATAGTATTAATTTATTTGACTAAAAAATCAAACAATATGCAAATTTTACAATTATAATAGACAATTGTTAATATTGACATAAGATTGTGTTAACTTTCAATTATATACTATGCTTTTTATATAAACATAATTAATGTAGCCAAAATGAGAGTTTTCTATTAGATGATCCTGTAGTACTCTGCTGCTTACGTGCATTTAACACTTGTTCACACTTATTAATTGCTTTGACAATTGGTTTCATTAAACTATCAAAATTTCCAGTAAATTTATCATTATTTATCTCACGCTCATATAATGCTATTGCAGCATCAAATGTTTTTTTGTAGCAAGAGAGTTTTTCTTGTCTTAATTTAATTATATTTCTTGCTACCAAAACATTATGCATATGACTAAATATAGAGCTTTCTTCTTCAACAGAGTCACACTCTTTTTCAATAGGGTTATTTTCTTTATTTTTATTATACCTGGTCCAGGGATTGCTTGTTGAAAGAATGGTTGGCATTTTTTCTAATCCAAAAGTAAGAAAGGGGTAAACATGTCGATGTTGTGTTTTTATAAATATTGGCATAAAATTTATACTATTTTTTTGTGAAACAAGATGTTTGCAAACAAAATAGTGATTGTGCTGATAAGACAAGCAAGAACACACCCAATTATCCACATTTATATAGTGTCTTTTATCCATATCAGATTCAATATGCATCGCAGCAGCCTTATTTTATTCTTTTTTGAATAATTCCCACCAGGTTGAAAGTGTTCTGTTTGTATTATGATGAACTAATTTGAGTTCAAAGTTAGGCACTAACTGTTCAGCAAGAATCTGTGTAAGTCTATCTAAACGTGGTCTGTTATAATTATATTTGTACTTATATTTCAGTACATGTCAGTGGCTTTCAACAATCATAGTCATTCTTGCTAATGGGATTGCAGCAAAAAATCCTGATTATGCAAAAAGCTTCCAGTCTTTTCTATTATAACAGTTATTCCAAAGATACCCTCACAATTTGACAAGCTTACGACTATAACAAAATTGATAAATCTCTTTTGTATAAGCATAATAGATTTTACTAGAGGTCCAAAAAGTATCTTTGGCTATAGGTATAAGTGGATGCATATTTGCATGCATTTTTATCATATCTACAAGCTGCTTTATACAATCGTTTGGACAAAATTTTTTAGCAGTGCTACTTGATATCCACATCAGATCAATAAACTTAAATTTTTTGTATGCCTCTAAAGCTTGTACTTTAGTATATTTACCGAATTTTAACTTTTCATTTAACTATTTTTTAATAGCATGTTCTAAGTGCCAGTAACATAGCTGAAGATTTGCAGTTCATGACCATGCTTCATTTATAGTAGCAATCTCTTCAGCATCTTTATCAGTAAAAACAAAAACTGGTAATAAGTTTAATTTTTGGAGACAAGAAAAAAAATCACACAGAACTTGTACTCGAGTTTTAATTTTATTTTTAGAGTCATCAAGTGCTTCCTTATTGTCATTAAGTGTCAAAAAGTACAAATATGCCAAAGGCAATCCATAACCACCATAATTTGCATTTATAACAAAAAGCTCAAACCACTCTTCATTTGTTTTGAATGTAGAATCAATGACTATCTCTGTTATATTTGTAGTACTAATATAGCTTAGTAGTAGTATTGTAAAGCCAAGTGCTTTTACAAAGTCATTTTCAATAAAATTAAGTATTTTAAATCCTTTTGTTATAAACTTTGGCTGCTCAAGATATAATTTTGCCGATAAAACTTGATTGTCTAAATTCATAATATAGGTTTTTCTACTATAAACCGATGTTCAGTAATATACTTGTTCATTAGTATGAACCTTTGGATCAATAAGCATTTTATCCTTAAGACATTTGTAAAGCTCAGAATTTCATATATAATATTTAATATTTTTTTGAATTCATTCTCTAGCTTTTAATGGAAATTCTACTTTGTGATATTGATGGTGTAAATAAGCTTCTAAATGTTGACATTGAACAAAAGCACACTGCTGCTGTAGGTTAATTGTTAGTATAATATTTCCCATACACATATATCTATCTATTGTAACTCTAATTTCGTTTTGTCGTTTTATTGGCTAATGTTCAGATCTTTTTCATTGATGATCAGCTCTTTGTGTATATCCAAGATATGTTGTTATGCAGCCATTAAATTTTTTTTTTTTAGTGTTTAGATATAGATGTCAAATTTCCTAATAGTATCCAAATCCAGATTCAAGTACTAAAATAAGAATTTTTATAAGTTAGTAAAATTCATCCTTTATTTTTTCAAAATCAAATGATCTCGAATAAATATTCTCTTGACTGCATGGAATATTTTCAAAGAGCTGTTGGTTCAATTCAATTTCAAGAGCAAAGTTTACTTTTTCACTATTATTTTCTGCTTTTTGAAATTTTTTGTTATAATTTCCTGAACTTCATCTAGACTGTATAGAGGGCTATTATTATTTCTATAATCTTTATTATTGAAATTTTCATTTGTATTATCTTTTAATATATCTTCTTGTTCAGAAAACAGGTCAATTTCTTCAATGCTACTATCTACTTGAGAAAAGAAAGTGTTGCTACTACTATCTATCTGTGAAGTAAAAGCATTACTGCTATTATCTATTTGTGAAATAGAAGCGATACTGTTGATACTGTTATTATCTGTTTGTAAAGTATTTATTTGGAAAATGGAAGCATTGCTGCTACTGTCTATATGAAAGGTAAAAACATTACTGCTGCTGCTTGAAGTTGTATTTGTACTGTCTTGCAATTTTGCTCTTTTTCTTGAAATTGAGTTGGTTTCTTTTCTCTTATTTTTACATCTTTCAGAACACTGATTACAGATACCAGATTTATTTAAGTTACCAACTCTATAAAAATTTTCTTTTTTTTTATGGATACTGTAACAAGTACATAATTTTTTGATAGAGGATTGTTGAGAAATACTAGCAGTAATGTTAGATTTATTTTCGTCCATTTTTTGAAGATATTATAGTTAAAGTTATAAAAAAATTTTTAAGCGTAACAAATATAATATATAATGCTTATATATAAGCACTGTCAAAAAAAAAACAAAGATCAGGATTTCAATTATATTTTATACAGAATACAGTTCTTAACAAATTAGACAGATTGGGTCCAGTATCAAGTATAATTGAAAGCCCAATTTTAAGTTGTCTCTTGGTATATAGTATTAATATTATTGCTTATTTTATTGCTGATTATAATAGTACGATTTTGTTATCTACAGAAAATCTTTACCTTCTGCTATCAATAAATATATAATATATTATAAGTTTTACTTGGCTGCACTTTTTTAATTAAAGGTTATTAATTAATTAGAAATTATTACTTGAGCATTATTAAATAAAACCCTTCTCAAATATGATGTTTATATTAATAGTAACTAGACAAATTAAATAGGATATTACCATTTCGCCAGGCTTGTATATTTAATTATAGTAAAACTGATTAATAAATAGAACTAAATAATGATATTTAACCTATACATCTTTGTTATTGAACCTATATATGCATTAAAAATAATTTATATATGTTTGCACTTAGCCTTCAATTATTTATTATTAATACTAACAACACATAATTGTTTGTTAATGAAGAAGATAACCAAAATATTGTGTAAAAGCAGCATATACATGTATGTATAAATGTGAATAGTATTTAATTAATAATCTAATGATAATAAAATGTCTAAACAAATATAATTTTAAGAAAAATTTTTCGAAATACCCTTAGGAAACTTTGTCGTACTGAACTTTGGTTATAATATTCGAATTAAATATCAAGTATATAATTTATAATTTAAACTTTTAAGTTTCAGGAATTAGATATAGAAAAAGCTAGCCGTAACTATCTATTAAATAAAAATAATATTTATTAACTAATCATTTTAGTATATAATTTGGATATGTTTAATAGAAATAATCTTTACCATATATCATAGTATATAAAAGTAGTTTTTTGTATACAAATATGATTGGTCAAAAAATGAGCTACAACACGTGACCAGTCACTTTTTTTTCGCCATGGCTAGGGTTTTAATAACGATCGTCAATCGAACATGTGATCGTAATCAGGCCTATCACATGTTCGATCGAGTAATACATGATTCGAGACAAAAGCTGCTCCGATACTGCGTATCGAGCAGCTATTAGTTTGGGGATTTGGGCAGTAAGTATACCTATCATATGTATATAAGCAAGAAATTTTTTAAAATTTTGAACGAAACGATAATCACTTTTTTAATCTATTTGATCAATCTTTTTTTGACCAATCAAATCAATGCACAAGTCACATTTTGATCGACATGATTAACATTTTTATAAATAATCGTTTATCTCACCAACTTAAGACCTTCAAGGGTTGTTTTGTCATTTCGCTAGAGAGTTTCGCCTTTCGATTTTAAGCTTCGCCTTTCACCTAACTATAACCACAATAAACACAGCATAAGGTTAATATTCCTCTATAGTATTAGTGCTTATAACTTTTTATCTTAATTTTTTTTTGTTTTATTTTGTTTTGTCTCTATTAAATATTTTTTTTAAATGTACAAATAGAATGATAAAGGCAGTGAGTTCCCTTCCGCTCTGCAACTTACAATGCTAATGATTCTGTCAGGTTCGGACTGCCTAAACATCGTAAGTAATTAACAAAGCAGGAATAATTACCTAGTATTTATTGATTATATATGTATATATTAATGGTTTACAGATATTTTAATTCAACATATTTTTCCGAAGCAATTTGGTCTTCGCAACGTGTTTGATCACGACAAGAACGGGCAACCAAGCGTGCAATCGTTATTTCAATTGTGTCAAAATTGTATTACTGAGATTCAGGTTTTTTTTTTTTAATAAATAAAGAAATAAATATTTACTAAACATCAAACAAATACTGATAATAAGATTTATTTTTAGAAAT